AGAGCCATCTTCCTAGTAGAAAAATATTTTTTAGTAAGGGTATTACTCTTAATAAATCTTAATTAAAATCTCTTAATAAAGACTTTTTAATATTTAAACCTGTTTAAATACAGGATTTCAAGAAACTCCCAAGCACTTTACCTATATCAGGGTAACACAAGGACAGGCTCTTTGTATTCTAGTACTGTCTTCACTGGACTTTCTGCCTGGATGCATAAGCAAAGCTAGAAAACAAACCAAGGTAAAATGTTTGTCATATTTGGTGGTGAATATGAGAAATACGTGTGGATGGAGGATGGTTATGCCTTATCACCCACACTTTTCTTTGAGATACCCAACTATAGCAAAGTCTTTTTCTTTCAAAAATAAAATCATAGATAAAAGGGTTTTTTTTCTCCTCCTCCCCCTTTTTTATTTACATGAAAGATGAAATATCTGCTTATCTAGAAAGATGCAGAGTATCAGACTTAGTAAAATAATAAGCATATTACAACTGAGCAACAGGGATGGAAATGTAGTTTTGCTTGACTTTGTAGTCCTGTTTCCTGTCTCTCTGTGCCCCATCTCCCTTCTATCAGCTGCTTTAAATACTTGTTCAACAAAAATACATCAACAGTCATACTAGTTAACAATTCCATGCCTCCAGGTAAAGCTCTTACTGTATACAGTTAAAAGGCTCAAGCAGGGTTTTTCTAGCAGAAACGAGAAAAAAATACAGCTGATGTTTTTCACAGCTTAAAAAAAAAGGGGGGGGGGAGTGAATAAAGAGAAAATCAGGGGGAAAATAACCAAATTCTGAGGAGCTTTTTCAGAATTAGAAAGCATTAAAACCTACTCAAGTTCTTTTTAGGTCATCTTGAAAAGCAGGGGATAACCAGGTAAACCCCTGACTGACTTTCTAAAGGTTGCACAGCACATACTTCTACATTAAAGCATCTTTAACATATTCCAAATAGTTCAAGCTGCTTTAAAATTTGGCTAAAGGGTCTAAACTGGGCACATTACAAGGTACACGTTGTTTTTTTGCAGAAATGCCTCTTTGTTGTTCTTCACAATCTAGTAAGTTACTACCGCAGCAGATGTCTCTGGGGTGGAGTGAGTGCATGTTGCATGGTGATAGGGAGGTTTTCTCCCAAGGAAGTGTCATCAGCATTCAGAGAAAATCTTCAGCTGTTCAGAATGAAAGTTTAGCCTCCTCGGTTGCTTGAATTCAGCATCTTGCTGGCAGTTATTTGAGAAGAAGCAAGCCCAAAATAAGAGCATTGTTGTTTGTTGTGAATTGTGGTATGATTCTATGAAAGACCTCATCAAAACTGAAGGGAGGAAAAAGAAAATTTCTAAGAACCACAGAATTACAGTAATGTTTGTTAGCAGGTAAGACTGATGTTTCCAATTGAAACATCAGATGAAAGGTGAATCCTCAATTTCTCTTTATTGGTGTTTATCAAAACAGTTATAAGTTTTCTGCCTAAATATGTAAACTTATTAATACAATTTTGCATAACTACAGAATTCTCACCCTTCCCTCCTTTCCTGGCTGTCAATGCTCATGTCACAGTAAGTTAGGATTCCTCCACCCAAACTTCTTTGTTGTTAAATTTCCTTTACATTCCAAATTATACTCTCTTTCAATGATAGGAAATAATTTTCAATTAGTAATTCAGAAGTGAAGGTCATCTTGAACAGATTCTGCTCTTCATCAAAGACAAAACGGAAGTGCAGAAGAGCAGCAGTTGGCAGCAGACAGATAAAGGAATACGAAGTGGCATGTTCTGAAGTGTAATTACCTTTGAGAAGTATAAAACATGGGGGGAAGATATTCAGTATTATTCTTTTGACAGTCTAAAACATCGGTTATTGTGACTTTTAGTAATGATTGTTTTTTAATAAGTTTCAGTTATTGAGATATTTAACATTACAATTTATTATTTATCAATTTTTATAATGGAGTAGCAATCCAACTGCTAGATTACTGCAAATGAAGCTATTGGTAAGATCCACCCTTATTCCAGTCTGAGAGACTTCTGCTTCAGGAGAGCAGGTGGCAGTTCTCTGTTGACCTGCTTGGTTATCTGCTCAAACTGAGTCATGCTGAACAAGCACTGGACAGGCACAAGTATGGGAATCACTGTGGGCACAACTTGTTATTAGAGCTTTACAAGTTAGAGGAGAAATAGGAAAAAAACCAAGTGAATATTCACTTTATCTCTGGGTTCAGACGGGTTTCTCTTAGTGAAACAAAGAAAAAAAGAGAGTTTTTGCATATGAACAGTATCTAAAAATGCTAGGAAAGTCCCACATACCTGGCATTTTTTGTTGGGGATTTTAAAACATCCTACTGTTAGAAGATTTTATTTAAAAGCCTTTTCTACATAAACACATTTTCCAGCTCCAAGAATTTGTATTTCTTCTTGGCTTTTGGTAAATAGCTTTGGTTTGACTCCTTTTTGTCACAGGGTAAAAACAAAAGGCAACTATCAGTCCTTTGAGGGCTTGAATTCTGTTGGGCAGTGGTAAACCAGGATTTAACACTTCTCAAGCTTTGTAGCTTCGGATAGCCTACAGGTACCAGTGTGAGGTATAGTCTTCATATAGTAGCCATCTGTGTGGAAGGTGAGACCCTGTTTTACCAGCAAACAAACAGAAATGAGCAGACATTAACTGAAGAATTAATATGCACATCCATGGATTTACACCAGATGTCTCATCACAGCTTTCATCCCAAGCCTCATTAAAATGTGACTTTTTTCCCCTCATCAAGGTGCAGATGAGACAGGCTTAGCGATACAACTGACTGCAGAAACAAGGCAGGCCTGTTCTCCCCTCTCCCAGCAAACCTCTGCTGACTCCACATGTGCTAGTCCTTGACAACCACCTCATCCATTGCTCACTGAGAAGCAGAAATCCCATTCAGCAAAAAAGCACTAGTGGTTTCCATCCTAGTTAGCAGTCTGGGTTGGCTTGCTAAGGAACCAGGCAGGCACCAGACTGGCACAAAACAAGGGCTGGTACTGCACAGCCAGGAGCGTAACCATTCTTCGCAGCAGTTACTTTTCTCTGGCTGTTGCTGTTGGACCCTACCTTTACCTTACTTCTACATGAAACTCCACTCTGCTCGTAATCTTTTGCAGGAAAAGCATAGCCATCTCCCACGTTCCTGTATTCCCTTCCCAAAGTTACATCCTGACATAAATAAAGCAGGCTATATGTATATATTCCTGGACCTGAAGTTCTGTTGTGCTGAAGGAAGTGTGCAGTGGGAACATAATTACTACCCCTATAGCCAAGAAGCTGTCAGGGAGCAATGAGCAATGAGATCTTTGGCATTGTTGTCTGACATGGAAATCAACAGTGTATCCTTAACATTAAAGCCCCCCCATCGCTGCCCAGCAAAGGCCTGCTTAGTGTTTCATCTAAGACTGCCTATCGTGGTGTAGTATTTATTACTCACCACTTATTTTTTCCAGAGAAAGTCCTAAAATCACAGTCTAGTCCATCACTGCCATCCTCAGGGTAAGTAAAACAGATGATTGGTGGAGTAATACACCACCCTGAATTGCTTTTAAAGAGATCAAAGGAGGCACAGCTGTGGTTGCACTGTGGGGCATGTACTTTGTCTTGAGAAAACTTCAGAAGACCTAGAAACATTAAAGAGCTAAGTTTCATTGCCAACAATTCCACACCAGTCAAAGCTACTTTACAAACGAACATTTCGCACACTAATTATTTAGTTTTAAGAGTCATACAGCTTTCACCTTAGTCTCTACCTGGAACCATGGTATAACCAACAGCATGGTATTTAACACTATGCAGCTCAAACCAAGTCTCCATGATTAAAATTATCATTTTTAATATAATATTTCTTTACCTTATAATTGAAGTCAAAACATTATGAAAAAGCCTTTCAGATTATTTAGATATTGTACAAAAGCATCCAGGAAAAGTTTCAGTTCTGTTTGTCTAGTAAAAAGTGTTAGAAATTCATGTTCACTGTCATCATAGTAGTTGGCATATAGAAGCAGTGTGTTCACATTTCTATCAATCAGATGTGTTCATACACTTGTTTCTAATGCAACAATTGGTGTGAGATACCAAAGGAAAATATGGCATGAATGTAAGTACATGTAAACTTATTTTGTCACATTTAGAGAAAGCAAAAATAAATCAAGTTCTGAGTGGAAGCAAAATATGAGAATAAAAACTAATTAGAAAGAGAGGACAATAGAACAAGTCCAAAACCAGAAAAGATTCATCCAGTGAATGGCTAAAAACTCTATGAGCACTGAATAAAGGGCATCTGAATGAATACGTGAATACTGAATAAAAGGCATGAAGAATATTGAGAAATGCTATAAGAATACATCACCATGCAAGAACCTGCTTGAGAGTCCTCAATCATTCCAATTTGATAAATACAGAACAAACCAGTATCCGTTCAAATTGTACGCAGTCCTCAGTGCATCAGCAATTCTACACTTTATTTTATGGTGGTGTAAAAATATAGACCTTTTTTGGTTCTCAGGCTAAATTGTCCATAGACATTAAAATTGAAGTCTTCCACTTTATGCTGACGAAGCTTTTCTGCTTGCATCATTACTGTATTGATATGCTTATCATTTTTTGTTGGCAGAAGTGCTACCTGCCAACAGCAGCATCCTATTGACAATGGAAGACATGATAAAATCGTGCACAGAATAGGCTGACAGGAAAGCCCTTTCAAAACAGCTGTGTTAGCAGTGCAGCAATTTGATCTTCAGATGATGTACATTGGAGTTGTATCTTTATAATCTCTGTAGAACATTATTAAGAATGTTTTATGGCAACAGCACTAACCAGTGCTGCACTGCAAGGCTGAACCAGCACTAACAAAGGTCAAGAACAGTAGAGAGTCTTTTCCATCCGAACCAAACCATAGTTCATAGACACTGAAGCACATTGTGATTTCAGAGTGACACCTTGAATTCCGAATTTTAAAAAGTTGTATTTACTTGTGCCTGCAGGGCAAATATCATGGTAATCCCATGCATATAGCAGTGATCATCTCGAACTGTTTAAGAGAAGAAAGAAGAATATTGGCTGCAGCTAGCATGCCAGTACAGGTAATGAATTACATTTCACTAATCTGCTCCATGTTAATCTGCTCACATGCTTTTAGGACCAAATCCTGTCCTTTTGTTTCACTTGAGTGATTTGTGTGTGCTAGGGGTTGCCAAAGGTTGCCCTTTAAACTCATATTTGTACTTCATTAGTGGCTCTGCTGCTGCAAGCACTGCTGTAAGTGACTTCTATGTCACAGCTAATCTTCAAAGTCTAATCTGTGGGAAAGGCTTTAAAGAGCTTATTCTTCACAAAACAGATGTGTATATTTTAAATTATGCAGTGCATTAGTTCAGATTAATTATGCAATGTAAAAGACATTCTGTCTGATGTTGCAAAGGCATTGATAGGTTTTATATAAAATTTTAAAGTTTTTTCTTCAAACAACATAAAACCATCTGGGGAAATTGTTACATGATTGAAAAACAATTTTTTAGTCATATGTTTTCTTTTTAATCACCTGTGGATGTAATAAGTATTCTTATATGAGTATCAGGTGTTTTTAAGAAATCTAATCATCTATGTTTCAGTTTCTTTAATTAACTAGATATTTAATGTTTCCAGTATACCCACACCCTTTCACTTTTTGGATTTCCAAGTTAAAGGAGCATGTTCTTCAGATCTGTGGAACTAAACAGATTTGCCTATTTATACCAGTCCCCAGCTGGTTGAAGATGAGCTTCTGAATTCCCTCTCTATGCTAGGATTTACAGTACAGTTACCGTCACTTGTTAGTATTACTCATCCGCCCGTTATCTGGTTCAATGTGTTCCAGGGGCCACTGGAAAAATCTCTGCAGAACTCTGTGGTTTCAGAACGACAAAGGAATGTAGAACACAAAGTTTCAGCCATCAAGAACAGTGCTCAGGTATTATATTTGTCCTGTTTGCTGTTTACACAGCCATTATTTTGACACAGACATACTTGAACTACCTTTAAGCTGGGTAGCTCAAATGCCTTTGCTAGCAAGCTGGCACCAACCCTTTTCAGTTATTCTGAGGACCTCAGCCCAGACTGACTACTCAGGACATACCTGGATCTCCAAGTTTTTACAGCTGCTCTGGGTCCAACCTATTTTAAAGCTATCCCACTCATCCCTATGTGAGTTGCAGGCAGACCACTGGGTGCAATAAGAACATACCTAAATGTATTTCTGCAACTTTACCTCTTTGCTAGCACTAGCTAGCCTTTGTGACCTCTGAGTCACATACCAAGGACTTTGTAAAGCTGAAGGCTACGTGACATAATTATGTGTTTAGGAGACATGAGGGGAGAATACTGGGAGCTGATGGTTAACAGTCTCCAGGAGTTTCCCATACCACTGCAGGGCAGAGCTGGGCTGAGCCGAACCTGTAGCAATGTTCCATAAAGACCTTGAAAGCTCAGTCAGAGAATACATGCCTGTTCAGTTTAAGGCAGGGTTACCTACAGATTCAGATTACCTACAGTCTCTTTACTACTACAGCCCCACTTTCAGCTCTGCAGTCTTCATGTAGAAGTTACATTTGACATGCCTGTGTCTATACCATTCAAGAGCGACGCTTCTTGTATAGCAGAAAGAGGTCCTAGTAGCATTTTCTCATCAGTGTCCCCCCTACATGGGGAAGAAGTGTTAGAGAAATTGAACCCTTATAAGGATAAAGCTAGTTTTAGAAGAATGTGATACTAGATCTCTATATATGTATTAAGCTAAAAGAGTTGCAGAGCAAAAACAAAGCTGCAACACAGCAGGCTACCATGCTGCTCCTTCTGCCTGTGTGGGGATGCGCAGCCAGCCCTGAAGACCAGTGAAAATGAGGTTTTTTTAGTAGGCAATTAAGTTGAACACAGAAATCAGCCAGTTCCTTGTGTATATAATTTCATGCTTTACACATATAATTTGAAAGTTTAGTATCCAAAATAAAGAGGAAACAAAAATGGATAATTCTGTGTGTCCTAATTTAGGAAACAAGTGTTTGTATTTTGACAGGCACTTGCACATCTCGGAGAACTAAGAAGTGTTTTTTATGAGTTGTTGACAGAAACAAGGCTTCCTATAAACAGCATAGAAAAGACCTTCGAAGTAAAACAGATGATTGCCTACAGTTTTTCTTGTTTTGGTGTGTCATTTTTTGAATTATCATTGTTCAGTTACTAGAAAACACCTCCTAAACTTTTTGCAGTACGTATGAAAACAAACCCTTACAAAAAGCCAAAGCAGCAAAAATGTTTCAGTTCTTTACCCAAATGCCTAAGTAATTCTCCAAATGAAGTTTCTGAGCTCTGCTGCTGTCTCTGGCTCCATCTTACTTGGATTTGCACACCCCATTCCAGTTCCATTGAAGTCAATGAAAAATAATCCATTTGCCCCAATTTAAAACTCCAAGAAGAGTGTTATGTTATTGGTATAGTAACTTAAATTTAGCTCAGGCTAAATTGAATCATTCCTACTTTCACTGTGTCACTGAGCTAGTAAACAGGTGGTTAAGCTGTATCAGCTACTGTTTGACTGAGGGTAAGAGAGTAATAGTTGGCTTTCTGAACAAGTAAAATGAATCTGTATTTATAAATGTGCATTTATAATTCAATCAGCTTTTTCAAAGTATACAAGATAGTAAACAAGAGTTCCCAGAACTGATTAGGGATTCTGAAATGGTAGGAAAGGAAAAATACTACACATGCATTTGCCCATTACTAAGCAAATTCCTTTTTATGTCACTGTGAAAACCCAAATAACTTTACTTTCTTTTCCCTGAGAAAGATGACTGACCAAGATGTCAAATACTTGGAAGATTTGCAAGAGGAATTTGACTTCAGGTATAAAACAATACAAAGCTTAGGTAAGAGGTTTTGTAATATCTTTTAGATTGTCTATGAAACGGCTGATTCTGCAGCTAGACCCCAGTATCAGGGAGTTTTTGTGCATTACTATTGTGGTTTATCAACAGCCAGCAAGTAAGCACCACACAGCTACTTACTCACTCCTCCCCCCTCCCCACTTCCCCACCCTTTAGTATGGTGAAGAGAATTAGAACAGTAAAAGTGAGAAAACTCATGGGTTGAGGTAAAGACAGTTTAATATGTAAAACAAGAGCCATGCTCACAAGCAAAGCAGAACAGGGAATTCATTCCCCACTTCCCATGGTCAGGAAGGGGTTCAGCCATCCCCAGGCAAACAGGGCTCCATCGTGGTTGTGAATGCTCCATCCCTGGCAGTGTTCAAGGCCAGGTTGGACAAAGCCTTGGGTGGCATGGTTTAGTGTGAGGTGTCCCAGCCCATGTCAGGGGGGTTGGAACTAGATGATCTTAAGGTCCTTTCCAACCCTGACTATTCTATGATTCTATGTGTAATGGTTACTTGGGAAGACAAATGTCCTCAGTCTGAACATCACCCCCTTCCTTCTTCCCACAGCTCTATAGGCTGAGCATGACCTCATATGCTCTGGAACATCCCTTTGGTCAGTTGGGGTCAGGTGTGCTGCCTGTGTCCCCTCCCAGCACCTTGTGCCACCCATCCTGCTCACTGCTGGGGTGGGGTGAGGAGCAAAAAAGGCCCTGGCTCTATGTAAGCTCTGCTCAGCAATAACTAAAACATCCCTGTGTTATCCACACTGCTTCCAGCACAAACCCAAAACACAGCCCCATTCTAGCTGCTACAAAGAAAATTAACCCTACCCCAGCCAAAACCATCACAGTTACTCAGATAATGTATGTAAATATAAAAATGGATTTTTTGGTGTTTATAAAGTCTTGGAACATAATAACTTTTGGGTGTTAACAAGGTAAAGAAGATGTTGTCAAGTATAAATATTTTCCATAGATAAGATGCATAATGGCATGAACAGTAGTACTTTCCTTAATTTAAAGAACTTTTCCATTTTCCTCACTTTTGATAAGGGACTTCCTTGGATGTAGAAAAGCCTATTCTTTTCCCTAGCAGAGTTGTGCAAAACTGGTTTTTTAGCCTCTAAAGGCGAGTTTTAGCCTCTAACTTGGGGTTTTATTCTTTTTTTTTGACTACAGTGGTGATAACCAGCTGGTAAGCACTCAATGCATGTTTGATCAGCCTGTGATGGTTGAGATCTGCATATGGCAACAGTCCTTGCATGATCTCTTTCAGAAAAGAAACTGAGGTCCATCTGTGTCTGCTCAGATATCTTCATATTATCTCCCTTTTACCATGCAAAGATATTGGGCTTGAAATGTCTGAGCTCTTAAACGTGTCAGTCCTTTATGATTAAGACCTGATCTGGCCAGACAATCAGAAGAGATCAAGTTGATATGGTTTAATAAGTTGTTAGTCATCAGGCCAATGATAATTATTGACCACAGATAATTGAAGCCTGTCCCACTTTCAAAATGAAACATGCTTACATAAATGACTTTCAGGGCTTAAAATTTCATTGTGTCAATAAATGTTCTACACCAGCACAGCCAGCCTGTAGTACCTTACAATATGGGTGAGCAATTGCTGTGGCTGAGCTGACAATCACTTACTTGTCTGCCTCTGTTGAAGCATCTACCCTCACATAATAGGAAGATGTCAGTCCAGAGCTTAGCAGAGGCACAGTTGGCACCCATTTCTTTTTTGAAGGTGGCATGAAAGATGCGGAGCAGCAAAAGGTGGGGGAAGGTGAGGGTGGGGAAGACCTGCATATGAAGAGCATGGGGCAGTCTTGGGGAAGCTTGAAACTAATGCATGATCCATAGAAGGGAAAGAGAGAGGGAAATGCCCAGTGAGATCAGTACTCCTGGCTGCTGAAATCCCCACGGTGATTAACACTCTCTCCATTTCAAATGCCTAACCTCCATTCTCTCAGCCAGACACATAATTCACATCAAGTCCAAAGAGCTTTAGTCTGACTGCTGACACCACAGGCATGTTTCAGTAGAGTGCAGACCCATCACTGATCCAAGACAGATGTACATAATACACATGCAGATGCACATGAGACATTTATAGATTTCTAGGTATCGTCTGTATGTTCTCTACCTTTTCATGTTCCACATACACACCTAAAGTGTGGACTCATAAAACCTTATCTTAAACTTGTACTAAAGTTAGTCCATTCAAATGAAATATGCTATTACACAACCTATTGATGCCTGCAGTTTATTTTTTCACTAGCTCATGCTGCACTCTGGTTGTGGTTCCTTTCCCTCCTTTCCTTATAAACACTCACATGCAGCCACACATGCATTTATACTGCTTTTTTTTTCATCCCTTGCAGAGCAGAGCGACAAAAACAGCACCCTCATTAAACAGGAAATGTTGGCGTTACAGGCGATGCTCAATACTTTAGACTACAAGAGAAAGGTTAGTGACGTGTTCTGTGATCCCTTTGCTTTCTCCCCTTATTCCCACGCCAAATACTCAAATGTGTACATGCACCTTTTAGATTCTCCTCTCAGATCAACAAATAACAGAGGAGTTAAAAATCCACATAAAGTTAGGGTGTGTACGGGTAATTTTACCTAGCAGTTAAGAAACTGGCAATTTAGTAACAGCTCTATCAAGGATATGGTTCTACATACCTTAGAAGTAAGGTAAGGGCATCTCGTACATGCTGTACAAAATGGATAACTTAGCTGGCAATCCATAGCTTTTAAAGTAAATAAAATACATTCAAAGTAAATGTAATATAATAATTGCCAAGAAAAACAAACCAGAAAAACAACAACCCACCAATGGTATTTGCTCTGTTCAGCAACTGAGACTTGCAAATATGACAAATATTCCCCTGACTACTTCTTTGCTGACATGGAAAACTGTAAATTTAGGCAATTTGTTCAAGTCCACGTACTTTTTACGGTTAAAAGCAAGCAAGCAAAAAAATCCCAATGCACTGGATGTGATGCAAATCAAAAGGAGAACTTTTTGACCTTGAAAGTGCTTGTAAGTGTCAGCTTTTTGGAGGTGTTATGCCCACAAAGAATGCAACCATCTTCCCTCGCACCCCCCAGAAAAGATGGTTTACTGAGGAAGAGTTCATGAAGATTCAGGATTTATTTTAGTTACAATGAGTGATGAATCCAGTCACCTCTGAGTTACAGACTGAAGTGTGAGAGACCAAATACAGTTACTTCCAAAATAATTGAAAACAAATGCAATCAGCATTTATGATAATTGCTGAATTTTGTGGCTGCTCCCTGTGGTCAGTTAGTGACACCTCTCCTATTTTACAGGAAGTACTCAGTAAAATAGGGCGTGTGATTCATGAAATCGATATGCTTATGAGCAACATGCTGACTGAAGAGCTGCTGGACTGGAAGAGACGGCAGCAGATTGCCTGCATTGGGGGTCCTCTCCATGGCGGGCTTGATCAGCTCCAGAACTGGTAAACTTGCCTTGAGCCTTTGTTTCCACTGAAAACCACAGGAAGTCTGCTGCACGTGAAATGATCATTCCTTTAGATCAGCTGCAACAGCAGCAAATTCATGCGTAGCTAAGAAAGTAAATACTGAAAAATATATTTTGCTGTGATGGACAGTATTTGCTATCCAGCATTAATAATATTAGTGAACTGCTGAGGCTGAGCCATAGCTATCACTCATTTTTTGGAGTGATACATGCTCTCTTGGGGGTTTTGCTTGAGTAAGAACTGTGCTGACTGAGTTTATCACTGAGGACAGTGGGAGTTTTGTCTAGTCCGGAGCCAGGTAGACACCTTATGCTTTGACTCAGTAGGTACATCACGCTTCCAGACTTCAAGCTTATGCAGGAATTGAATGGCATTAGTCTCTGTGACAACTTGCGCTTTTGATTGCAAATCAAAAGAAAATAGCATTATGTTTAAAAAGATAATGCAGCCAGGGAATGTCAATGTCCTGATAATTTCTTTCCCATCAAAATTCTCTCCTGGCAAAGGTAAGGTAAAAAGAAAAGAAGGAAAACAACCAGAAACCTTTTTAGGTTGGAAGAAAAAAGTAATTTTTGCCTCCCTTTTTTTGTTTTTCCACTGAAGTCTTTTTTGTTTCAATTAAGATGTTAAAAATAGATTTTAAAATGTGATTTTATACACACATACCCATTAAACTGTTAGCAAGTGTGTTTGCATTTGATTTTCCTTACTGTTTTTACATTTCCTCAGTCTTGGTAACTTGCGCGTATTATACAAATATTATTCTTTTAAATAAGAGTGTATTTTGTGAAACTACTGAGCTATAGGAAAGCACTACATTGGCACAGTTTCCCGGCATATAAAACGTCGGCAGCATGTGTAGATTTCTTCTGGATTATCACACAGCATAGCATTGCTGTTGATGACACCCACTGCATAAGTATTTCCTTTTGGAATGAAGTAGTTACTTTGCCTGACTTATTCATATACTCCCATGAACAAAAGATGAATGGACATGAGTTTGGATAAAGCTAGAAAGCACCAGTCAGCACTGATTCTGATTTCCCCAAGCAAGAACTTCAGCGGCCATTACGTTCTAAGAAATGGTTTACATGGAAGATTGCAAACTAATCCTTTGTCTTGCTATAGTTTCACGCTGTTGGCAGAGAGTCTCTTTCAAGTCAGAAGGCAGCTAGAAAAACTGGATGAACTGCTGACCAGACTGACTTACGATGGGGACCCAATCCCACTGCAAAGACCTCAGCTGCTGGAAAAGGTCAACTTTCTGCTATACAATCTCTTCCGGAAGTACGTAAGCTATTCTCAATGTACATAAGTTTATTTGACTTGACTCAGATTTATTGGCAACAGTGAGACCATATTGTTAAGAAGGAAAAAAATGAAACAAGTTTGAATCCCTGAGGATCTTGCAGACCAAGTTTCCAATATAAAAAGTACGTACAACCATCATCAAAACTCCTAGGAGCTGAAGGTGCCAGGCAGCTTCTCATGTTCAGCAGTTGAAGGTTTGTGATCAGGTTCTGCCTCTAAGTGAACACACAAAATCCACTTATTTCAGTATGAGTTATGTACATAGTGCTGAGAAAAGTTGTGGTGGTTGGCTGTGGTTTTTCGAAGTGGCAGGAGCCAATTTGTTTCTTGTCTTTCCTCTTCCCCACCAAGACATTCTTCCCTGCCCAATTCACCCTTCTATGAATAGGTAAATTATCATCATCCCTCTTGCCTTTTTTACTCGCTATACTGGAGATACACCACAAATTACTATCTGAAAGCAAAACATGGTCAACTTTTCTTTATAAAAAATGAAAAAAAAAAGAAAATGATTGTTTAATTCCTCTGGAGCCAGGCTCTGTATTTTCATGTTCTGCTTTATGGTTCTGTTAAAAGCCTTGGTCTTCCAGATGTTTATCAGCCTGGTACTTTAGGACTATGGAATTGTTGGTTTGGGGGTTTATTTTTTGATGTATAGAACAAGTCAACTCCAAGTTATACCACTGGATCATTTTGAGAGCTGAGAGTTGGAATACATACCCCCCGCTTCACATCTGCGGAGAAATACTCTCTAGGAGATCCAAGCACTTCCCTCGCCACCCCACCTAATACAGCTCCATGTTTATGCATATTCCTCACAATCTATTTTTTCACTTCTTTTCACACAGTTCATTCGTGGTTGAAAGGCAGCCCTGCATGCCAACACATCCCCAGAGGCCAATGGTTCTTAAAACGTTAATACAGTTCACTGTTAAATTAAGGTAAGGAAGGGAAATCTGATATAAACTCCTTCATTTGCATACTGCATTTTACACCAGTTGAATCTAGGAAACAACGCAGACCAACTTGTGTTAGAGACCCTTTTGACTCCATGGAGATTTTCTGGAATGGAGATATAAGTGCCACAGGACCTGTCACTTGTAATAAGTGGCAATAAAGAGTAAATCTGTGAGGAAGGAAGGCAGATTGTGGCCAAAAGTCAGCAACTTCAGGTTTTGTAGGCACTGAAATCTTGTTTTAATGACTTTGCAAACTCAGTAAATAACAACCCACATCATACAAGCCAACATCAGAATACTCAGAGCCACTTTTGAGAAATTTCCTCATTTTGGGGGGCTCGGGTGAATCAATGACAACTTGATTCACCCCCACTATCTCCTTGCCCAACTTTGTGAAAAGACTGAAGACTGGAGAACTCTCATTTCCACCTCACAGCAAGAATATATGGCTGGTTAGGTGGTGTGGAAAGGGTACATGAAGGAAAATACTTGTACATCTACAGTGCAGTCAAATTAGATAAATCCATCCCTTAATTGTTACTTCTTTGTTGTCTCTCTCTAGCCATTCCCTCAAACACATACTAACTTCCCCACATACTTGAGGGAGGGTAGAACACCTGCCACTGGGACAGCCCAGCTCCTCTTACTGAGTGTACAACCCTGTAAATCATGATGGAATACTATATGCTGCTCTGTTTTCAGATTGTAATTATTACAGACACTTTAGTGAGAAGCAACTGGTCTCCAATATCTTCTGTTGAGAAATTTATTCTATTAATATTTACTTTTACATTTTCTGTTTTGAAGGTTGCTGATTAAATTGCCAGAGCTGAACTACCAGATCAGAGTGAAAGCAACTATTGACAAGTAAGGAACTTTAAAATGAAGATATCCTCTCCCTCCCTACGAAAACACAGGTTTTTCAGTTGCTACCGGATCAGATTTAGAAGTTGCTCCAAAAAAAAGAAAAAAAAAATCCCCAAAGAAAATAAAAACACCCCACACACACAAATAGTTAAAACACCAAGGTAATGCTTTTCTATTTTTAATGTGGAAGACTTGTCTTTTTCGAAGAAAAGCTGCTATGTCTAATTGGTATTTTCAAATTGGAGGCAGGAAGTCATGTAAGATTTGTTTCAAGACTTCAATAAAATTCATTGGTCTGAAATAGTAGCATCACACAAAGTTTTAAATTACACCACGTTGCATAGTTAGCTTTGAAATACGACTTAATTCTACCCGTGTTAATAGGCCCAGCAGCTTTGATGCAGCTGCTGCAAGTAGCACCCAAATCTCGTGCTTAAAAAGCTAATGATGTTATTAGGAATTGGCTGCTTACAGTTTTACCCCTGCTTGAAATTAAGGCTGCTATGTAAACTCCTCCTTCCAAAATGTTTGGTTCTCCTTTATGTTTGCATCATTTCTTATAGTAAACCCAAATGAACAAGATGCCCAGCTTCTTTGATTATAATTTCCTAATTAAAAAGCATCTCAGAGCCTGTCTATACTATGTGAAAACAGTATTAATGCTGCCTGGTGTCTCTTTGAGTTGATGCATCTTCTCTCAGAAAGGTGTATTATTTTAAGCAATACCCGTTACTGGTATTGCTTAAAATAAAAAAAAGGTGTATTATTTAAAATACACTTAAAATAAGGTGTATTATTTTAAGGTGTAAAAAAAATTAAAAAAATATTAAGGTGTAAATAATACTGAAAAAAGGTGTATTATTTTAAGCAATACCCCTTACTTGGTGACAGATAGGTCACGGCACCGTAGCATGATAAAACACAGGACAGAAGACTTGATGTCAAGGTATGATTTCAAAATCAGCAAAGGTGATCCAAAAGGCTGCTAAAGCCCACCTAGACCACATGCACATAGATGCTGGCCCAAAAGAAGGAAGGAAAACAGTATCAGAGAAGCCAGGACTGTTTCTCTCAAAAGCTGTGTACTGTCCGGTTTGCTGCTATGCACGTGTTCTCCCCATACACCATCAGCTAAATACATAGGCTTGTATTGTTCCAGAACACAGGCATGCAGGTAATTAGATAGTGCTGCAGCTTTGAATACCCACATCATTCCAGTAGGAGGAAAAAGCTAGATAAAATATACTACTTGCATCTGGCCAGGTGCAAATTTCAGTTCTTTAGTTCGGAAGTTGTTGCTTGGTTGTACTGGTACTACAAGTTAACTTTGACAACGCAAAATCTACCACCTCAAGATACATTTCTCAGTACAGGTTATGGCTTATACATTTATTGATTCACAATCTGTTCTCCGCTCTCCCCCTACCCCTCTTCTATTTTAGGAATGTTTCAACAGTAAGGTAAGAATATAAAACATCATATTTCGTAGATTAACCAATATGACATCATTGGAGTACATAACTGTAACATCTCCCATAGTAACCGTAGATTCATTCTGTGTGGAACACACATGAAAGCAATGAACATGGATGAATCCGCAAATGGAAGCCTGTCTGTAGAATTTCGACATTTGGTAAGTTTGACTTCTTTTCCTATTGCATACCTTTGTGTAGAAATCAAAGAGTCTTTAAAGACTACACTGGGAGAACTGTATTACTGTCAAATATACACACTCATTTTTTTTTTCCTTATACAGAAAGTTTACCCCTAGAACCTCTTTATCCCATTCCATACTTCATCCATTCCATAAGATAAGACTATATTTTCACTGAAATGCCAAAACAAATCCTAACTAATACCAGAAAAGGAGAAGACTAATTATGCTGAACTACAGTTTCTCAGAAACTGGGTTTTATTTATAAGAAAAAAAACCCAAACCAAACATCACCACTGTCTAGGGGAAATTATAATTGAATGCTCTAGATCTAGTTGAAACTAATGCCTGCGTGCAGTAACTGTCTTTTGAGGGACTACAGCACTACTTCTGTAGATTCTCTAATAACCCATTGAGCCATGCTTTCTGACTGGACTCACTCCCCTATGGTATTTTCTAGAGCTTAACCACAGATGCAGTGAGTCAGTGGAGGTTTGCAACAGGAGACGGAAAGTGACAGTCATTAGTGCTTTTTCTATTATACATTTTGTAAGCACCCTAATTAACACTTTGTTACATTAAGTTAATTTCTTAAAAAAATATTTAAAAATATCAAAGACTATTCACTGAATAGACTTTCCAAGGCATAGTGTCAGAGCCTTTGTCACGGAGTATGTGTATATCGAGAATAAAACCTTATCATATGAAGAACATAATGGTTAAATATGTTAAATATTAAAATTTAAAAAATTAGGATTTATTAAATATAAATATGGCCTTTATATGTGTTTCTGTCTATAATTTCTTTGGCACATAAACATTGTTTTGCTTTATACAGCAACCCAAAGAAATGAAATCAAGTGCTGGCAGCAAAGGAAATGAGGTTTGTGCACTTACTTTTCATGTTATTCTTGATTACTCTCAGAAATATTTAAGATTGAGTTTTATTTAAATCAAAGATCAACAATAGGTCTTTTCCAACCTAGTTGATTCTGTGATTCATATGTTGTTAGATTTTGAAATATGTATTATCCTTACAATAAGTATAGGACCCAATTGTCATATGATAGTATAATGAGAACTTTTCTGAACTACTCAGAAATTTTAATTACATGCCTTAGTATCGTATATTTTAAAAGTTACAATAGAAGGTAAGTAATAATTTCAATATATGCACTCCTCTTTTAGGCTTCCTTTTTGGTCACTTACATTTTGGGAAAAAGAAGCTTTGTGAGTTTTTTGTTGAAACAATTTCTCCTATAGGAATGGTTCTTCTTCTGTTCTGTTGGCCAAGTTTACAGCTGAAGTAAGGGTATAATTATATTTGCATCAAAGAAGTTTGCATGCCTCAACCAGGACCAAAAGTGTGCTTAGTTTACCAATAGTCATTCGACTGTGGTTGTAGGTTCCCCTCTTGTGGTGACACTTATACCATGACATGTCAGCCCTAACAAACCAGCAGATACTCTGCAATACCCAGATTTCAGAGATATGCACGTACCACCCGACACACAAAGTGAAAAGGTATTGCAAGTGCTTGCTTGCTAGCTGGGGAGTTTAAAATCCACACATTCTTGCTTAGCGGAGAGCAGAAACCAGAAGTATTGACATCAGCACATCCAGTACACTGTTTTCAGAGATATGCACGTACCACCCGACACACAAAGTGAAAAGGTATTGCAAGTGCTTGCTTGCTAGCTGGGGAGTTTAAAATCCACACATTCTTGCTTAGCGGAGAGCAGAAACCAGAAGTATTGACATCAGCACATCCAGTACACTGTTTTCAGAGATATGCACGTACCACCCGACACACAAAGTGAAAAGGTATTGCAAGTGCTTGCTTGCTAGCTGGGGAGTTTAAAATCCACACATTCTTGCTTAGCGGAGAGCAGAAACCAGAAGTATTGACATCAGCACATCCAGTACACTGTGTTCCTGCGATCACCTGCATCATAGAGCACTCTTTCCATTCCTGTGTTACCCTTTAGCACCCCTTATTGCCATATGTGTCTTCCCCTGCCCAACTCCTAACCCCTTCCCCTTCCTCAGCATCTGCACAGCTCTACTATGCCTCATTCTTCTTGGATCTGGGGTTGGAACTAGGTGATCTTAAGGTCCTTTTCAACCCTAACTATTCTATAATTCCTGAGTGCCTCAGGTGTCACAGACAAAATCAGAATCCCAGTTACTGCATGCCTTCATTCACCTTCTGCATCTCTGCCAGGAGGGGAAAGGAGGACCACCCCAGCAGGGGAGAAGGCAGGATTATCCTCATCCATGCCATGCTGGAGGCAGCAGACAGGGAGGGGGAATGCACAAGTACACACAAGCACTAGGGTGGCCCATCACTGTAAACTTAGCATGGCTATTTGACAGTGAAAATATGCACATAAATCTCTTACTGAAGCAAGAGTCAGAAGCCTGCAGCCAATGATACAGCCTCTGCCAGTGCTACCACAGCTGTTTCCCAAGGTAACTACAGCCATAAAATGCTTCTAGGAATGCCACTTACTTACCTAGGAGGGAAAGTATCTGATACTGGTTTAAGGTATCTCTGTACACTTTTTTTTTGCAGAGTGGAAGTGCCGAGGGGAAAGTTGTACTGGCAAGTTTAAAAAAATATTTAATAATAAAATCACTCATCACAGATGTAGTTGTACAAACATAAAAGTTATTACAAGCAGTCTTTAAATACAAAGCAAAAGTGTGATCAGAATGGAGAATTTTAAGCAAGAACCTAAAACAGAAGATACTTGTGCATCCTTCGTGTGGTGTTTCTGAATGGAATAACTTGCAACCTGATTAGCAAGACTGAAACTCAAAGCTGGCCTCTCAATTGCTTTGACCAAGTCATTTGCATCAAGACAAGCAAATGCAAAAATGTAGGTGTAAAACTGTTAGTGTTCTACTTCTGGTAGCATTTTACTCCCACTTTCACATACTGTGCCTTTATAACTATGTAAAACTCAGAGCTGTGGAGAATTAGGATAGCTGAGCTGTGACACTGCTGATCTTCTCAGCCAGAGCTTCTCCTTGGTCAAAATCAGCCTGGGAAGTCATTGCTAACATAAGCATTGGATGATTCTACCTGTATTAAAATATTTGAGTTCACTTGATGGATAATTATCTCATGTAAAAGCCCTCAGCTCTAAGCTGGATTTTCCCTTTGCAAGGCAGATTTATTATTCAGATACCTGAGGATCTCCTGTGGTCTCAATCCCTTATTTATACAGTATTTTTGGTTGCAGTGGCCTGCATGTGTCTTGGAGGAGGTGTTCCATGGGAAAGATAAGTCCATAAAGCACTTTCCCAAGGAATAGTTTTATTTTACACTGATTGAAACCAGAGTAGCATAATAATTGGGAGCACCTTGATTTGGAATTTTTGATCCTTTTTACAAGTCTGATAAAACAATTATGCGATGGGGAGGGGAAAAACAACAACACAGGAAAAGGACAGATAGATTTTACTTATGGGGATGGAAATATATGTAAAAAGACCTGTTTCCCAAGGGGCAGAGATTTGGATCTTTACAGAGCTATGCTGGTTTGTAATCAAAATAAAATGCTTGTATTACAAACTTTAATCAACTATGACAGACAGATTCCCTACCTGGAAAAGCTTGGCGTTTTAATGCCAGATTTACATTGGATTAGTGATTTAGGTCTGTACTCCTTCAGCTAGTATACTGTCTAAGTATACTTATGACAGGCCTGTGTTCCCAGAGGCAGCCTACCTGTCTGCCTGTCATTAAAGTTGTGGCTTATTCTTTCATTTCTAGGTTGTTTCTCCTGAAGTTTAACATCTCTTTCTAAATCAGAATTGTTATTCAGTAAAGAAACTTTAGGAAAAGAAAAGTTGGAGATACTCTTTATCAGACACAAAAAATAATCCGTTAACATTTTGTCTGAAAATCTGTGTTTAAAAGTACCCTTTTAGAAAAAAATTAAAGGTGAAAGTTTAAAGTTTAAAAGTGTTGCTTTAACAATGTCAAGGGTTTTCTTTTTTTTAGATTCATCGGGAAAAAACACACCAGACTTCTGGACTAATTTAACATCAGAGTTAAACAAATGATTTCCTTCACTGCCTTCTTTCCTGTTCTACTTATATCTTGGATATGTGTTTTCTTGCGAAGTTGTGTCATGTCAGCAGTCAGATCACTAGAACAGTGTTAAATACCATCTCTGCATTCACAGTTTTATAACCTATTTACTCCCTCAGGGCCCTCACATGGTGACTGAGGAGCTGCATTCCATCAGCTTTGAAACACAGGTCTGCCTGTATGGATTGACTATAAACTTGGAAGTGAGTATTTGAGCCAGATTTTTTGAGGCAAGAATAAAAGGTGTTTTCCAGCAGCTTATGGAAGAACAATAGTGTTGGGTGAGACCACAGGTCTGTATCCTAGATGTTATCTTCAGCAGTGAGCAGAGGCAGACGTAATATTCCAGAGCTTCTGGACAGAATTGTATGATTAAGGAAGAAAGAGGAGGCTAAAAAACAAAGTATAACAGAGCACTAACACTTTCCTTGGCAGCATTTACATACTGCACTCATTCTTTCCACCAGACCAGCTCCTTGCCTGTAGTGATGATTTCCAATGTCAGCCAGCTACCCAATGCGTGGGCTTCTATTATTTGGTACAATCTGTCAACCAACGATCCTCAGGTAGGTTTTCAGTGTGCAAGTACTGACTTGCTGCATTTTCACTTTCCTATTAGTCAGTTACCAAATCTATTCATTATAAAAAGGCTGTGTTTCCCTCAAATCGGACCTGTTTTCTTCACATACACTGTTATCAACATCATAGGTTTATGTTTGCTTTATCCTTTTTTTCCCTGCACAGATACAAAACCATACGCATGCTTAGCCTTCCTTTTTATGGCTAGAGTAGTAGTTCTTAAACTAAAGACAGTCAATAGCCTTTCTCCACAATTTTTCTAGTTTCAATTTGTCTTTTTTGGATGTGATAGACCAAAGCTGTAGATGGTACAAAATAATTCTATTAGTACAAGTACAATTCAAAACTGTCAAAGTAGGTGCATAGGTGGGTCTGCAATGTACTCAAGTACAGCTTTCCTGCATACCTTTTATAGGAGCTTTCTGTGGGGAAGGTAAATGTCAAGTAGCACCTTCTAGGGGCTCTAACTGTGAACAAAAGCAGAGTCTCAGGCTCTAGACTCAGTCTACAGTGTTTGCAGACTGTAGAATAATGCTGTCAGTAGCTCTCATGCTTTCAGTCAGGGATTAGTGGCAATCACAGAGTGTTTGGAGAGAAAGGGTGAGAGTTGACCATGGAGTGTGCCTAAGAATAATGGCAGGCCAGCCAACCACCAGCCTGGACTACATAATCACTCTGTGATGCTCCCAAAGAGCTTTTGCACAGTCTTTAGTATGTTTATGGCATGTACCAGAAACCGAATGAAAAACTAAGATGAGCCAAATGATTCAACAGCATATCACTATGAGTACATGATGGTTTAAGATTTCCATGCACCAAACATATTAAAGTATGAGACTATCTGCGTTAATTGGACAAGACTTAAGCATATTTTCACTGTCTTAATATACAATGCTATCAGAAGCATAGCAAGAAATTTCATCATCCAAGATGCACACGTGGACTCTGTCTCTCTCTAGGGGTTTCCCCCTACAACTCTGCTCAGGCACACAAGTGGACCTTGCTGGGTGCCTGCAGGGGGAAGGGTCAGCCTTTTGGCTAATTTGCCCCAATATATCCCCTTCTGGACACCTCGTTTTTAACACTTCCAGATTCTGCTCAAGTACTTGCAGCCTCCTTCACAGACTGCAGTGTATTTCATGGTTGCTAACTGTCTAAACAAAGCATTAATTCTGTTGCAGAATTTGTCTTTCTTTAATAATCCTCCTGCTGCCACTTTAAGTCAGCTCTTAGAAGTACTGAGCTGGCAATTTTCCTCTTATGTCGGTCGTGGACTCAATTCTGAGCAGCTCAACATGCTGGCAGAGAAACTTACAGGTAAGAGTGTAGAAACATACAGGTTTTATTTGCTCCTGAGCTCTCATATTTGATAGTTGCAGGTAATGAGTTCAAGCGTATGTTGTGGCTTAACACCAGGCAGCAGCTAAGCTCACCACTTCCCATGGTCAGGCAAGTGTTCAGCCATTCCCAGGCAAGCAGGGCTCCATCATATGTAATGGTTGTTTAGGAAGACAAACACAATCACTGCAAACATCCCCCCCTTTCCTTCTTCCTCCTCTAGCTCTATATGCTGAGCATGACACCATAAGGAATGGATGGTGTCAGTTGGGGTCAGCTGTCCCAGCTGTGTCCCCTCACAGCTCCTTGTGCCCCCTATCCCAGTCACTGCTGGGGAGGGGTGAGAAGCAGAAAAGGCCTTGGCTCTGTGTAAGCTCTGCTCAGCAATAACTAGAACATCCCTGTGTTTTAGTTAAAACACGGTTTCCAGCACAAACCCAAAACAGCCCCATTGTATCTACTGTGAAGAAAACAACCCCAGACAGCCCAGACAGCATGACCTCCACTTCCAGAGCTGACATCAAAAATGCCACAGAGACATTTTTTTCTTTAAAGAAAAGCACATGTCAGCTTACTGTCACCACAAAATGATTCAACTTCTGAACTTCCAGACTGCTAAACTGAAGAGGGCATCAGTGTCACACTGAACTGTGATGTTATTTTGTTACCTTAGCAAGTAATTATCTCATGCATCTGAAATCAAAAGGAAGTCTTTTTGCTTGCTTATGTGGTTTGGTTTAGGTTTTGTTTCAGTTTTAGTACCTGTCTGTGTGGGTCTGTTTAGTTCTGGGACCCATCCTTCACCAGTGACAACATAGCAAGGGGGCCCTGTAGCTTCAGAGAGATGGACTATTGAACACTTTGATCTGATTGTCCCCCAGAGGAGAGGGGCCTTAGAAGAAGGCTGGCAGAAGAAAGCTTTATCTGTTTCTGAAGAAGAAGCAGTTATAAAACATGCGGTGAACTGTAAGAAACTCCATTAGGCAGGAACAGAAGCATTTGTCAAAGACCAGGGGGAATCTTTACTTTTATTGTTTCAAAGCTGGAAGCAAATACTGGTTTCCCTGCGTAACAGTCACTTCCCCTGCTGGTTTCTTGGAGATTCCTTGCTTAGTGGAGGTAGCAGAGTTGAGAGCTGCCATTGTAAATCCACAGAAATCATAAGAAAAAAGAAACTGTCTTAAAATGGGAGGTTCAAGGTACAGCAAATTCCAAGAGAAGTAAGACTTAGGCTAAAAACTGAAACTGAGCATAGAGTGTTGCAGAAACAAAGTCCCACACTACTTCAGGCAAATATTTCCAAAACTACTATTATCAGCTGCTTCAAAAGAATACAGAAAATCTGATCTACATCCCCTTAGCATACCCCTCTCAATCCATCTCCAGGTCTGGATGTACCGTAATTCTCCCCCTGCACCAACTATACAGAATATCAAGGTTTATCTATTTCAAGACTTCAGAAACACAGGCTCACTATTTGTTTTTTCCCTCTCAGGACAACAAGTTAGTTACAATGATTACCAGCTATCCTGGGCAAAGTTCTGCAAGGTAGGGTTCCAAAAGTGAAACTGAATTCTTCTTTCTCTTACTGCCCATGTGTGTGCCTATCTCCCAGATGCTACTGGTAAGATTCCCACTTGGGATATGTGGGACTTACAGCCCAGCACAATCACATTCCTTGTAAAAGTTTAACTAGGAAAATAGCATTTCCAGAATTTTAAAGTTTGGGCTAAGAGATATAATATAGAGTTACATTGCTATAGATATTGAAAACTGTCATTATAGCATGCCCTATGTACTTCTGAAAATGGCCAATAGATTGCGCTGGCAAACCATACAGTATATTTTCGTATTTTTCATATATATAGCGACACAATATATTTTTCATAAAGCACACAGTATTTTTTTTTCATATGGTCAGCCGTAACCTAAATTATTTCAAGTCAGATGATACATTCGGCAACTTTGATGAAGAACAGATAAATTGTTGAGAAAGAAGGGTAAAATCATTTTATTCTCATTAACTACATTATTTAAATAAGTATGGAACCTTGGAAGAAAGCTCAACTTTCTTGTCATCATTTCTGTCAAAACGGAATTTCATAACCAGAAAGAAACAATGATTGTGGGGTTATTTTTTGGGTTTTGTTTTTTTTTTTTTCTTGAAAAATGAGGTGCTTCCAATGCATATCTTAAAAATCAGTTGGTTTTATGTCAGGCTGAAAGAGAAACATTACTCAAACCAGCAGTTCAAATTTGTAATTCTGGCTTGAACAAACTAGATTATTCTTAAAATACTGAGACAGACACGTCATATGGATGTTGAGTAACACCTCTCACTTCTCTTGTGGTTGTTTTTTTTAACCATTAGGAACATTTGCCTGGAAAGTCTTTTACCTTTTGGGTTTGGCTTGAAGCTATCCTGGACTTAATTAAAAAGCACATTCTTCCTCTTTGGATTGATGGGTGAGCAACGAGGAAACTGCTCTATATTGATCTCTCCCTGCTCTGTCTTTTTTTCTCTTTACTAATCTCAGTTTTACCTATGCAGAAGAGAGTTTGCAAAGAGTTTAAAACTTCTCCCTCTTCCCATTTATAACTTTTGGAATATTTTACCAGCAGGGAACACCACTGAATCTCTTAGAATCAGCAGGTTATCTATTTATCAGTTCTGTCGGTGTACAGTCAAGTACTGACATAAATTTCATCATGCTTCATAGCACTCTGCGCTCAATGCCGTTGAGCTCCACCTACAAATCACATAAAGCTTTTGTCATAGTTTCAAGACCTTGTAAAGCTTTTGTAACCAGCCTTTGAACATCTATATAAAGTTTGGCCAGTTGCACTGAACAGACTGAAATCTGTACTTTTTTCCCAATCGTAAACCCATGATTTTTTTTGTTACACTTCAGGTACATAATGGGATTTGTAAGCAAAGAAAAGGAGCGAATTTTGCTCAAAGACAAGACACCAGGAACATTTTTGTTAAGATTTAGTGAAAGCAATCTAGGTGGAATTACCTTTACTTGGGTGGATCAGTTAGAAAATGGTAAGTATAATTAAAAAAAAAATAACATAAACCTCAAACTTTGCAATACACCTGTAATACAGAAGCCATGGTTTCTTCAGTTTGAAACTAAAATTCAGGAGTATCATGTCTTAGTATGGTTTTGGCCAAGATACAAGTATTGTATTTACTGAAACATAAAACTCTGAAAATCTACCTCTCAGTTTTTAACTATCTTAAGTTCCTTAGGAAATGAACTTCCTTACTGCAGGCTTTACATTTGCATACACATGCGCAGAAGGTGTATCTTGAAAGCTGATCTGAACAGGTAAAACCCACACCAGTGTAAATTGCAAGAGAAAGGCAAAAATACATTCCAGCAGTAGATGCTGATCTACCAGTTATCAGTGGTCGTGATGCCTTTGTATTTTTACAGGAGACGTTACATTTCATTCGGTGGAACCCTATAACAAAGGTCGCTTATCTGCACTGCCTTTTGCTGACATACTGCGTGATTACAAAGTTATTATGGCAGACAACGTTCCTGAAAATCCTCTGAAGTATCTGTATCCAGACATTCCCAAAGATAAGGCATTTGGCAAACACTACAGCTGTCAGCCAAATGAAGGTTAGGCTCCATTTCTCTATTTGCCCTTTCTGCAAAGCAGCTGCAAAGTCAAGAGGCAATTTGAGGAATGTGGGGAGGGGAGAAAGAGAACAGATTAAGATGCCTCCTTTAATTGGCATCAAGATAAGTGTTTTAACATCTGTCTATCATTTAGACAGCTTCATTTTGTAAATACATTCTTGGTCTTAGAGGTTATATTAGAGGAGACAACAACAATATTTCAAAGAAGCATGGAAATAGATCTTTGGGTACAAACAGTCAAAAAATCAGGATTATTTCTTTTCCTGACCAATGCATTACAAAATTCAGTGCTTGAGTGTTAAAAGGAGATGAAACTGAAAAGTCATCCTGCTGATTGGCTTTCTAATTGTTACAGTAGCATGCAGTCTCTTCAATTTCAAGGGAATTCTGTATTTTCCAAACAGCTTGGAAGACCCATTTTATTTCATTTCATTAGGTGGAACACTATAGCAAAAGGTCACTTACCTACACTGCCTTTTGCTGACCTACTTTGCAATTACAAAGATATTATGGCAGACAATGTTCTTAAAAAACCCTGGCAATGGAACTGAAAAATACAAAAAGACTAGGCAAGAATGGCTTCAAATACACTCAGGCCCACACTTGCTCTTGCCTAAGTTACAGGTCAGGCCATTTTTAGACTAAACTTGCTCTTGCTCAAAAAGCCCTCAAGGCCTTGATTTTTTTAGTAGATAATACACATTCTTCTAGACTTCCAATATTAAAGGTTACAATTCCATCTGAGTTCAAATTCCTACTCTACCCAAAAATATTTGGACGCTACAAGTGCTTTTCCTCTTCATTTTAATGCAGTTGACTTTGCCTAATACTCTAATCCTCTAAAAATTTATGCGTGTGCTTAATTTCATGCAAAAGACATTGCTGAAGCTGTATCTGTAGAGAGAGAGCACAAACATTTGCAGAACTGAAATCTAGAAGCTCAGAATTACCAAGCTTGTAAAATGATGATATATTTGCTTTTTAAACCCCACCAAGATCTCTTTCACCAGGTCTTATATTCTGATAGGGCAATTCATATAAAGGGAGCACAGTCAATTAATTATGTGACTAAGACCTGAACCCAAAGACCAGTCTCAGGAATTCCCCTCATTTTTATAGCTGTTTATTCAAACATGAACAGCAACATTTCTGTGTTAATATATTATGGTCTGCAGCACTTAGAGCAGATGTCTGATTTCAAATAAGTAATAAAACTAGTAGGCAATATTTAATTTCTAAAATTTATTTTTAGTCTCAAAGCCCTCAGATGGAGGCGGCAAAGGTTACGTTCCTTCTGTATTTATCCCAGTCTCCAAAATGTAAGTATTCTTATGGATGTATTACATTTCAAATGTTATCTTTATTAAATTTACATACTGCTTCAAAGTTATCCCTGCCTCCCTTCTCCCATTCTAATAGTTCAGGAAAGCAACACATTGCATGGTTTTTTGTTTGGCCAACAACTGCTAAAGACAAGAAATGGAGGTAAAGAACTTCACCTTTATGGTGCTTTTCCCATCCATGTGGCAAAACATTTGTAAAATTTGAATGAAGGCTTTACAGTACTCTGATCTACTAATCTTTCATTGCCTCCTTTTTCTCTCCAGCAACTTATATTACAGTCAGGTTTATCCTCTCTTTCCTTCATCCTATCTCCTACATTTTTAAGTCTATACCAGCTTGTTAGCTTGTGCTTACAGGGCCACCAGTAAGCCCAAGTATAAGCTTAACTTAAGCATTCACCCTACTCCGTTGCTATGCATCAAGTTAGAGGGATTTAGGTTGCTTTTAAGATTATTTTTGTGGTTTGTTCTTTTTCCTTTTTTTTTAAGCTTAAATGATTCTACAGATCCACATTCTCCATCAGATCTTCTTCCAATGTCTCCAAGTGTTTATGCTGTGCTGAGAGAACACCTGAGTCCCACTGTGATCGAAACTGCTGTATGTTGTAAACTTTTCCATTCATAAGTTAATGCTGTACATACATAAGCAGGTTGAACATGTACAACACAGATGCTGTTTATAAAAAAGGCTGCTTGTAAAATTATTAGAAAAATCAGTGCTCTTTCATCACGCAATGCAGACATTTCCTGTTCTAAACTGGACAGGATGTACAAGCATATTTTGAATCACTGTATTACATGAAATTGTCTGACACACTGGCCAGTGAATCGTGAATGTCAAAATTCAAAGATCCTGGAGTTCTTGCACAAATGAAACCTTTACACTGACAAATACATAATGATTACACTAATTCTGTAGCTAGCACAAAGGACTTGTCTTGCGTAAGGAAGCTGCGCAAGGAATATAAAAGCTTGTGATTCAGCAGACTTGCACTTTTCTGTGCTGCAAGTTTTTACTTGAGGTACCAAAGTCAGAAATTAGAAGTCAACTAAAATCTTCTTAGCAAATAAAAGTAATATTCACTAAATATATAGAAGGATTGGGAAAATACTGTACCAACATCCTATGTGAAATATTTCCCTTTTCTACTTACTGACTAGAAATTGTGTTCTGAATCGTTGCGGTTTAGAATACTTTGAGCACTGATGTATAGCCACTGGAGATTTGCCCAGCAGACTTCTATCAGGAAACAAAGTAGTGGTTTGGCTTTGACAGCTTTAAAAGAATACCTCCTTTTTAATACTAGGTCTTGGTTTTCTCTTTAAGACTTTTAAGACTTACGGTCTTAAAATAGTTATGCATTTAAATGCCTGTCAACTCCCCTTCAAATGCCTCTCTGTAAACACTCCTCCTCACCCACAGACCGAAACTAAACAAGAATCCTGACTGCTGATGATTTGAAGCACAGCTAAACTTTATATACAAATAGAGGAGCTCTTTAATATACAGCAAGCTGAAGATCTATCTGTTCAAGAGCAAAGTATCTTTTTCTTGTTTCTTCACCTTTTTCTCCAATAGCAAACTAGTTCTTCACCTAAAACTGAAATACTACCCTGAATGGAAAGTCTGTATTAAAACATACACACCCAATCTGAGACATGACCCCACTCGCTTGTTGTTTGGTTTATGCCATATGAAAACAGTTCTGACCTAAACTGCATTTGTGAACCAGTATGCATTTGCCTTTCTCAAAGTTTAGGAGTGCAAATAACAGTTGGCTTCACTTCTGTTTATCATCAGGCTCCAAATGTTTTTGGTTTCTTTTAGCATTCAACAGTAATTCTCAAACCAGCTCTTTCCAGAGCTTATAAACAAGCTGTGACCATTGCAATCTTTTGGAGTCATAACTGTACAAAACCCCCCATGTGTTTGGTAATGAACTGGGAGGGTCAAATACAATCACATTGCAGTTTTTAAGGGTACTAGAGAAGTGGTTCAGTGCTGCTAAATGGTAGGTGATTTTCTAGAGGCTCTTAACTAGAAATATTTTCTAGAATTAGCTGAGAAAATAGTTTCAGAGGATTTTAAGTATTCCCTCCTTACTTTTAACATTCTATTTAACTTGATAAATGGAAAAGAGGAAAATAAGGAGGTTTTTTTTCTTTATCATCCAAAATTCATACAACAAACTACCCTAGTGAAGATGTGCCCAAGTAGAGCAAGCAGATGATCTGCATTATTAAAGCAATACGTTCTCTCACTAAGATGCCAGTGAAAAAGCACTGTGTGAGATATGGAGAACAAGGGTGCAATCTGCAGTGGAACAAATTATCCTATAACTCAGTAACTCAAAAAGAAACACTTTCTGTAGTCTTGCTGAATTCCCTTCTAGCCCCCCCCCCACAGGTTTCCCTACACATCAGGAAAACAAGACTTCACTAAAAATCCTGCAATACATAATCCATAGGCTGCAAGAATCACAGAAATTCATATAAAAATGTCTCTTTTATTGCAACTACCACATAGTGTTTTCTAATGAGCCTTCCAGTATTTTGTGAAGAACCAGAAATGGGATCCTCAGTTTGTATTATGTTGTCAAAATGACACTGCAATTACATGGAGCCAAAGAAGGTTTAATGTGCAGTTACTTTTGAATGAACAGCAATAACTACCACAAGACTAATCTTTTCCTTCTTTTCTTGCAGCTGAGTTCTCCTTACTCAACTGACTGAAGTTCACAAACCAGAAAAATCAGTAATCATGTGTGGGTTAAAGATGCAGTAATTTTTATAATTTTGCCCCTCCGTCATGTTTGTAAATCAGCATTTCCTAGAAACCATTCAAATGTTATTCTTGGGACCCTGTTACCAATATCATGTAAGCCAGGAATCTTCTCCCTAGGGATTACAAATAGCCTCCTGCAAGTCAGAATTCCTCTCCTTACTGATAAAAGGCCAAATCCTTTCTGGCTTGGAGGTCATTTGACTTCAGCAAGGAAGGTCCAGCAGAATAATTCTGCAAGTAAAATTTATCGTCCATAGAATTGCTCCAAATAAAAGTACAAGAACAGAATGTTTTTCTTCTGAAAATAGCACGTAAGGATAACTAAAGACGTTAATGCGTGTGAGGAAATGATGATTTATTGTTCTAAGTAGTTTCTGTTTAATCATCATCTTGCACACTATTGGTTTAGCGACTGTTTTAAAGCGAAGATTCTCATCCCCCTGAATTGAGATGTCCCATAGGTGTCCGGGATTTGCTTTTTCCAAAGATGGACTAGCTTCAGCATAGATTTTTACGTGCCACCACAGCACAAGTTGTGGAAGAAAAAAGGTCCGCAAGACAAGGGTGTTCCAGAAAGGAAACAGACACAACATTTGTGCTGTCAAAAGGCTGTCTCCATTTTGCTGCTGAAGTGCAGAAGTAAATCTATTTGTGCATAAAGCACTCACATACTACAGCAAGAACTATCAGAGTTTAACGTGGAAAAAACTGATCTGGCAGCGTCTGGATGCTATCTGGTAAATGTGGACTGGGAAGCAGTTTTAAATAAATAGTTACTGAAGAGCTGCAGCATTTGCTGATCACTGGGCAATTTCTGCTACATGACAAAGTATTACATGCCTGTCAGACTCATTTAATAAGCAGAATAACTAGCTTTTGTATAAATGGTAAAGTGCCTTTTTAAAATATTCTCTTTTTTTATTATTTCAGGCACTGTGTAGTGCTGGGTTTGGGTTGTTTGGTTTTGTTGTTGATTTTGTTTTTTTTCATTTTCCTATCAATATTATCCCCAAAACCCCTGTTAATGATAAACATGCAATTCCAAGGCTGCTGTATTTCATGTATACAGTCTCATTCAAGATTTAAATCTTGTCTGCAGAATATGTAGTTAATGCATGCAAACACTGGCACATTTGCACCTTGCGTTCTTCTGCAAATTAGGTTCAAATTAGACATCTGGGAGGAAAACAACCTCCTTGAATCAGTAAGTCCCGAATTTTGCTTTCGTTTTGCCTTTTTTACTCACTCCTCTCATGCATACTATTAACGTTAGTTGAAAGCAAGTGAATGGAAACCGAGCAATGAGATATTTCTGTGCTACATAGGGACATGAAAGAACATGTCTCTGTTCATCAGAGTGAATTAAAGCAAGCTGCAGATAAGAAGTCATTTTTCCCTCAGAAAGCATCATGTATAAATAATTTTCCAAAACAACCATTGTGTATATAGTTTGGTAACATCTGTAATTTATATGACCAGCATAAATAAAAATGGATTTTTTAGCTTAAAGTTGGATACCTGGGCTTCTGTGGAATTTTTTCCAGATAGAACAGAGTCAAGCCTTCCTTGTGATGATCTCAAGTCTGAACTACAAGTAGTTACAGACTTCTAAAGCAGCAAACGTAACTTTACCTCACACCTGCTAATTGAATGCCTTTTCATTCTAACCTCAATACAAATGAAATGGCGGGTAACCTGTCCTTTTGACCATCTAAACTTCAGGGTGAGTACTGTGAATACTGTTTCATGTGCTATGGCACATGAAATGATCTTCCCTCTCCTTCTTCCCTGCTCTCTGTGCAATGCAACTCTTCAAGACTTGACTTTAACACAATACACTTTGTGTCACTGAATAGCATTGTGGATAAAGTTTTAGCATTACAGCTCCTACTATTGTTTAAAATTAGGTTTACAAGGGGTAGGTTTAATGTTTAATTGAAAGCCATGTGACTTTAAATCAGTTCACTCCTTTAAAGGAACACTGGGGTCATTTTCTGTAAGATAAATATATACAGTCCAAGCCTTCTTCCATTAAAAAAGTGAGAATTTTGTCCTTATGCCACTTTGAGTAAGAACAGGGTTCTCTAGTAAAACAATGGGGGGAGAGAGAGGGAGGAGAGAAAAAAATTGTACTGAAAGAGATGCCTCAGACTCTGCCACAAGTACTTATACTGTGGTTGTGCTTTTACTGTATTTTGCAACAGCAGAGCCAAAATAACAGGAAAATAAAAAAAGCCCATGTGATTGTTCTGTATGTTTTGTCTTGCCACATCGCACTAATGATTCCAATGAAAAAAAAAAAAAAAAGTGAAAACAGCTAGTTACATTCTGCTACAGATTTCATTTATAGCCACATTTATACCAACTACTTGGTAATGTTTCATACCATTAAAAAGATACCAAAAAGGATCCAAGTACCTTGCAGACTTGCATCAAATCCTGGACTTAATTCAATTCGGCCTTTGTTGACACATCATACACAAGACAAAACTTGTCACGGCAAAGTAGCACCAAGCGTCCTAGCAAATAACACAGTTGCAAGAAAGGTTCCATGAAGGAAACCAAAACTACTTTGTCAAGCTATTCCCTGGGAAGGAAACTCTCAACTGACAAATGTCGGGAACTGTTAAGACACCCAACCACCTGCAGTTTATAGGCATTCTTAGTTTCTGTAACTTGGATGAAAATCTGGGTTACAGTTCATAGCGGTTTCAACTGTGTTTGTACAGCCCTTATTGCACTGGCATGCCTTCCTTCTGTGCAGTTGAGACCATGGCTGCACTCTGACCCAGCTCCTGCTTTCCAGCGGCACCCCACTGCTCCGCCAGCGAGTATCCCACCAGCAGCACTTGCAAAAGGGTCGTTTTCTCACCGCCACAGAGAGAAGGGGTGGCGGGGGATGGCGGGGGGTGGCGGGGGGTGGCGGGGGGTGGCGGGGGATGGCGGGGGGTGGCGGGGGGTGGCGGGGGGTGGCCGGGGGTGGTGGTGGGTGGGCGGGGCCGGAGCGGGGGAGGCCCGGCCGCCTCTGCTTTCGGTTTCGACTTCCCCTCAGCCGGCCCTTTCGGGTACTCCGCTGCCTTCCCAGAAGTCACGTGGAGCGGCTGTTCCCGGCTCGCCCTCCCCTCCCGCCTCCGCCGCGCCTGCGCACTAGGCCAGGCAGGATCTGCTAAGGGGCGTGCTGAGGCTGCGGTGCTCGGAGCCTGTACTCGGCTGCGAGGGGGAGGCGAGGTACGGCACTGGGAGCTTTGCGGCGGTGCAGTAACTGCACCTCAGGAGATAAGCCCGGTGTAACTAACCAGCCGCTTCCTGCCACCAGCCACCGCTGGGCAGCTCACCGTCCTTGGTGCTGTTTAGGGATCGCCCTTTGAGCTTTACGCTTCCCTGTCTTTCCTCCTGGGGGAACGGGAGGCATCTACTAAGAGTCTTCACTCCAGACAGTGTCACCTCCTTCCTGCCCGTGCTTTCCTTTCACAGTTACACCTGCTCATAGCTCCTGCGACGGCTGCACATTCCCTCACACGCTTCCACACAGCAGTGCTCGGGAGTGCCAGAAACAGAGGCGTCCCTGGGGTCAGCGCTCTCCCTGTTATTGTCAGCACCTGATGGACAGCCTTTTCCTAACGGTGCAGCCTCTGCGTGTCCATCCCGCCCAGCTCTCCAGGGGGTCCGGCGGACCACCCGCCACGGCTCAGCCGCGGAGGGGGCGCAGCACAGCTCCGGGATCACTCCCCACTACCCAACGCGGAAGGGAAAGGGCTGTGGGTGGGGCATCCCGGTATCCCCGCGCTCCTATTGGCAGAGGCTGCAGGGGGCTAGGCTCTGATTGGCCCCACGGTCCGCAGCCGGTCCACGGCTTCCCGGGTATTTCTGGACACAAGCGAGGGTCGTGGAGCGGGGTTAGAGCGCAGCCTCGTCTCACGGGTAAGTGCGGGCGGTCGAGGGCGGACCGGTGCTGGCCGGCCGCCCTTAGCGGGACGTGGAGCGCTGTCCGCCCTGCGGGCCCGTCGAGCCGCGGTGGCGGGGCGGGGAAGGCATGCGAGGTGCTAGGCGGCGGGGCCGGCAATCCCCTGGCCTTTGCTCCTGAACTGCCATCGCGCGGCTGGGCTACGATCACCCGGGAGCGACGTGAACTGTTAGGAGGCGGCGGGGTTGAATGTAGTTAGAGGGCAGCCAGGAGCGAGTGCGAGCTTGGTGCAGGGGTGTTACCGGGGCCCCCACAGCTACAGATGAGCCACCCATTTAGGCGCTTCCAGCAGGGGCCCTTCTCTCCAGAGGCTGCAGTTATGTTGCCCTTACCCAGGACAAGGCAGACGAGCAAGATGTCCATCCTATACCACCTCACTTGTCAGTGACAGCCAGTATCTCAGTGTCATATACTGCGATCCGTGTATCCCAGTACTGGTCTCTCTAGTGCTATCTCCACAAAAGGTGCCGACTTCCTGCTTTTTAAGTGTTTCTCTGCTTGCATCCTCAAGGATCACATTTACTGCATTGTCATATTGCTCTGTAGCCACCTCTTTGGATGGTTTCTGCCACCAACCCTAAGTTCTTTCCCAGTCTGATTGCTTTAAGACACAGGAAGATTGGGGTACATTTGCATTTAAGCACTAGAGGAAAAATAATTAAGTTCATGTATTTAGACAAAATCTTCCAGCTTAGCTTTCCTTGCCAGTGTCACATTGAACTGTTTGACTTGGTGCCACTACAGTATAATCAAATGCTGTGTTACTTGTAATCCAAATTCCATGCTTGGTCTCAATCCCGTATAGAAATCTTCAAAGCCCTCACATTAAATATAATTGCATTTTAAACTCTCATTTACTTCTCACACGTAGCATGTGCCACTCAGCAGCTGAGGGAACAGGCATGGAAACACGGACTGGCAGTAAGCCGCATGCAAGATAGCCCTTTACCCCCTTGCCACCCTGTTCTTCAAGTAGGTCTTATCACGCTTTTAAGAAGAAGTTGCAGATGGGAGAGAGCTTGCATCCCACCACCTGTGTTCTCATCCTGGACTTATCCTTGGATATATCTTTATATGCCATTTCCACTACAGGATGCTAACCTGCAGCCCAGTGAGAAGACTGTAACTGGTCTGCAGCTACAGACCGTACATCAGAACATAAAGCCACTCTATCATAGAAGTGTCATTGTAGAGCATGGCTTCTGTAAGTCATATTGATATTAAGTAACCTTTATCTGCTGCACGGATTACTTGGATTTAACCTGAAAATTTGTCTTGGGAACTACGTATCAGAAAAAAAATCTTCCCCGTACTTCTCCATTTCAGGTGATTTGAGATCTAGTCTATATTCAGAGCAACAAATGGGGCACAAATATCACCTGAAAAAGGGTGCCCTAGAGGTTTGGGTTTTTTTTTCCCCACTCACACTCTTGGTGATGGGGTGTTCATTTGCACTAACAGAAAATGAAATTCCATATACAGGATCTCAGTCAGGCAGTGTACAGGATCCTGGTGGGATTGGGAGGAGAATCCAAAGAGTGAAAACAAGAAAACTAATGGGTTGAAATAAAGGCAGTTTAACAAGTAAAGCAAAAGCCATGCTCACAAGCAAAGCAAAATAAGGAATTCATTCCCCACTTCCCGTGGTCAGGCAGGCAAGCAGGGCTCCATTATGTGTAATGGTTGCTTGGAAGACAACTGTTTACACTCTTCTTACTCCTACCTCTCTCCAGGATGGCTCAGTGGTATCAGCTACAGCAACTTGATTCCAAGTTTTTGGAGCAAGTTCACCAGCTATATGATGACAGCTTTCCTATGGAGATCAGGCAGTACCTGGCACAGTGGCTGGAAAACCAGGACTGGTAAGCATAGAAACTGGCCTTCAGCTTGCGTGCTAAGCAATGCTTTCATACGTTTAGTTACAGGCGGCAGCAGAATACTGGGGAAGCAAGCTGCTAGGTTAACCTTTGAGGGTAGGACACTTCAGTAGCTGTGTGGGTGCTATAGCCTCTGCTCCTGCCCTTCTTCAGGCCCCCTTTCTAGAGGGGACTGACACCTAGAATAACAAGTGTACTATCTATCTCGTATTTCCCTTGGTTG